CTGCGCGAGGTGGTCCAGCCCGTTTCGCACAAGACATTCTCGCAGCTCTGAGCTCTGAGATGCCGTGCGCAAGGTGGTCCGGCCTGTTTCGCACTAGACATTCTGGCAACTCTGAGCTCCCAGATGCCGCGCAAGAGGTGGTCCAGCCCAAGAGGCTCCAGGAAGCCCCAGGTGGGGTCCAGGAGGCCACAGGAGGCCCAGGAGGAAGCCCCAGGAGGTCACCAGGAGGTCCCAGGAGGCCCCAGGAGGCCCCCGCAACTCGGAGCTCTGAGACGCCGCGCTCGAGGTGGTCGGCCCGTTTCGCCTGGGACTTCCTCGCAGCACGTTTCGCCCGAGACATCGTCGCAACTCTGGGGTCCGAAATGCCGCGCGCGAGGTGGTCCAGCCCGTTACGCTGGAGAAGACATCCTCGCAACTCTGGGTTCCGAGATGCCGTTCGGGATGAAGAGGAGGTGGAGGAGGAGGAGGAGGAGGCATGTTTTAACATGCCATGCCAGCCCGCACTGGACGGGCACGCAATCGACCTTGGAAACCGCAGTGAGTCTAAAAACCCTGTTTGGGGATTCTGCACTCCGGCTATAATTTGTCACAATTTGTATCCACTTATTTTGATAAGGGATATCTCAAAGCCAAATACTTGCCTCCGAACGTTGGTATTCCCCTAGCGCAGCATCGATACGTTTGTAGTCCATTCTGGCCATGATGTACGTAATGGTATTATTATGTGGCAGCTTTGAGCCGATAGGTTGTAGGAGATTGTAACGGTATGAGTAGGGCAATGTGCAGGCGGGCGGGTGGGTGTAATCCAGCAGTGATTGTTGCCCATAGCGTTGCTCTGTGGTATCCAGTACATGCAAAGGTACTGTCCGAGTATGCGTAACGACGTTAGCATGCAGCCGCTGTCTTGCGGTATCAAGTGCACGTACAGATAGCAAGCGAAGTACTTCATTATGTTTGGTATGAAGATGGGGTGAGGAGGGGATGATGAGGCTGTCCTTTGTGCCCAGGTAAGCTGGTGCTGGGTATATGCCTCGGTAGGCCTGGTGCTGTGGTAGACCTGGTAGGTCTACTCTGCGCGCTGGCGCTTCTGTGCTCCTGCGGCCGACGTACTGGTGTCCTCCTCTGTGTCGTTCTTGTCCTCGGGCTCGTAGTCCCCGATGGCCGCGCCCCCGTTGTTGGTATCCTCAGGCTTGATATCCTCCTCGAACGGGTACTGCGTCACGTTGTCGTAATTGGGGTTCTTGCCCTCCAAGCATTCGCCTGTGATGGAGATGTGTTGCTCGGTGGTAGTGTCCATGAAGTCGGCGTGGGGAGCTGCTGTGCCATTTGCCTTGTATCTTTTTCGTAGACCGCGATCTGGTGCTGGTGGTAGTCCATGATGTCGCCATCCTCCGACCTGTTTTCAGGTGTGTCACCGTCGAACGCGGTGGTATGCTTGCGGTGTACTCTTTTCCTTCTCCTAAGTATTGAGGTCAGAGTCCGTGTCGATGATCTTGGCTAAGGCAGCCTCGATGTTGTCCTCTTTGTAACGGTAGTTGGCCTCTTTGTTCCGCCTTGCGGAGTGTGGCTCCAGTGATGTTTTGGTTTTGATGCGGTCTGGTGGTTTAGATGTTTGTGGTAGAGGGGCCGTCGGACAGAGTGATGTCCGCATGCTGGGTGGCATGATGCTTGTAGGGGTCATTCGTAGGGCGTTTGGGCTTTGCATGGTCCTGAGTCAAGTCCTATTGCGCGTCCCATCTCGATGTCGTGTCGTCCGACGTGGATTCGTCCGGTGCCCGTGGTTCTGTCGGTCCTCCAGGAGTCAATGCCAGCTTCATTGTTGCGACATCTTCGCTCCTGCTCGTAACGTCCGTAGATGTAGGCCCAGGCGCGAGGTTGGAGGCGTCGTACATCGTTGCCTGGAATTCCGACTGGCTGTCTCTCCATTGACACATTGGTGTTCATCGGCAATGGTTGCCGAGGAGTTTTGTATTGTGAATTTCGTGTGGGTCGTCGCTTCTGTCTGTTCCTCCGACACGGCGCTGCATGCTGTACGCAGCGTGTGGCACTCGTGATTCATCGTGTCCCTGCGGTTTGGGAATTAGCGTTGCAGTTCTTGTATCTCTTGTTCATACATATATCTATATATATATATATATACATATGCTGCATACGCTCCTCGGCGTGCTTCAGCTCTCCTATCGTCTCGGGGAAGTTCTGGCCCTCTGCTCGGGGGGTAATCAGGCATGCTGAGCTTGTTCCGCCCCGCACTGGCCAATCATGGTGTTGATCTCTTCCAGACGTTGTTGCGCACGGGCCTCTTGCTTTGTTTGCATGTGCTCTTCCTCGAGTCGTTGTTGCATGTATTCGTGATGTACTTGTGGTCAGCGAGGCCTTGCGAAGTGAGCCTGATTTCCGCATCATGTAGTTCAGATATGATGAGGATCGAGTTGAGCTCCATGCTCTCGATCTGCTGCTTTATGGTGGCGTTGTTTCGGGCCAGGCTGTCCTCGGTGTTGGTCATGCACTGCATGATGCCGTTAAGGTGTTGCAGTTGTTTATCAGTTTGTACGACCGCGTGTTCGTCCTGCATCTTCTGCTCGAGAGATAGGTTCGATCCCCTTTTATTGTTTACTGCACTCGATGCAGTCGTGGTTGCAGATCTCCGTGAGAAGTGCTAACCTCTTGTTGGACTTCCTCAGTTCTGATGGTTCTTTGGCCAGTAGTGCCGCCTTTCCCGTGAGATCTTTGCGTGGTGCTTGTATCTCACGGGGTACCTCCGTTGTATTCGGTATGTTGCCGGTGTGCGTGTTCATCTCGGCCCGGTATGTGGCAACCTCGTTGTTGATGTCTTGTGTCTGGCTCCACATGGTACTGTTTGAAGATAAATGTTTGCACCATTTCGTGTTGAGCTGCGAATCGGATGGCACTGCTGCTCCCCCGCGCCCCCGACTTTAATATTGATAGTTGTGACATCTCCCGGGGCCCTTCGAAAAAATAAAGGTACATCCCATTTCAGCGTGCGCGTCCGCTCTCAATGTTAGGGTCGGGGGCGGGGGGGTCGTATCATCAGTTGTCGTGCCGCCCAGGTGGTGCAAAGTTGTTTCTTTCAACAGTATGTCTCTCCTCATCCACCGCGGTCTCGATCTCGATCTAGTAGGTCTTGTGCTGTTCACATTGGTACCATTCAGCACGGTTCTCAGTCTCGTCAGGCTCGATCTATAGTGGGGACGTCTGCGCAGCAGGTTTCTACTTGAAATTCTGCGTGTCTGTCTCGGTCTGGTACTTGTGTGTAGGACTCTCGCTCCGCAGTTTTTGCTCGAGCTTCTTTAGGCTTCCTCCCGTACTGTGGCCTGGTTGTGATGGTTGCCGAGTTTGGTAAAGGCATCCGCCACCGTCTTCTGTATGGTTTTGATGATGTCGGGGTCAGTTTCAGAGGGCTTGAGTCCTGTGCCTTGGCTGGGGCACCGATAGCTAGCCTCGGCGTGAGTACGTGCTCTTCTAGGGCCCGTTGTGATGTCGTTGGTCTTTCTGTATTTCCTCGATTCCTCTTGTGATACTGTTGGTCCGCGTTCGGTCTTGGTCCTATGGTGTTCAGTCTTTTGTAGCCTTCTATCCAGGTTCTCGTTCGTCTCGTTGTGATTGGTCTTCTTCGCCTGCAGCTGCTTAAGACTGAGGTCCGCCGGCTTGATCGTCTGTAGCATGTACTCGATGCAGGCGATGTTCTCAGTGAGGTGCTCGTATGGTTGTCCTGCTTCGATGTTGGCCATGTAAGACTTCGCGAGCTTGTGGAGTTTACTATGGCATTGCATGCGGTGGTTGTGGTAATCCTCTTCTTTCTCCAGCGGAGACATCCATTATTTGTTGGCCATGGCGTCCTTCCCTTGAGCAACCTAAATGGTCTTCACCGTCGTCTCCATGGTCTTGTCTGCCTTCCATGCCGGTACCGATGATTGTTTTTTGGATGTGCCGCGCTGGTCGTGGTTGTCCTCTGCGTCCGTCCTTAAGCGGTAATCGCAGTGGCACTTCTAGACTCTGTTTGGTACGTTCCATTTGCAGACACACCTCCATGTATCATTATTGTCGTAGTACTTGTCGTCCTTACTGGGTCTGGCTCTGCTGTGTTCTGTTCCGCGTCGCGTGCCTTGGTAGGCGTCTTTCTCGGATGCGTGGCGGCTGCATCCTAGCGTCATTGATCAAGTGGTTCTCTCGCAGCAAGTGCAGCAAGTCGTAGACGGTCTTGAGCTCGTTGGGCACGTAGTCGTCTGTGCCAGGCCCTCGCGGAGCTTCTTGCTTTGCCTGAGCACTCCGTGGCCACTGTTGCACAACAGCAGGTGGCACTTTGCTGTGGGCGCGGACGTGGTTCTTCCCGCAGTGAACGATCCCTTGGTGGGTACAGTCGGGGCCCTGAAGAAGGAACCCTTCTCGTTGGGGAGGGGCTCCGCGTTCCTTAAGTGTTTCGCAGCTTGCCCCAGGTTTTCCTTATGTTTTCGATCGGAAATTGAAGTTTATCCCATGAAAAAAGGGGCCTCGTTCCTTATTTGGGGCTCCTTAGGTCAAGCCCCCGACTGTAACGCAGCAGTCGCGGTGAGCGATCCCCTGGTGGATAACGTCGTAGTCGCAGTCGTTCACCTTCGGGCTGATGTTGTCGCAGTCGTGGACGCTCCGCTTCGGGACGTCGCGCGCTGAGGCCAGGGGCCTGCGCGCTGAGGCCAGTCTCCCCACGGGCTGGGCGCGCGAGCGGCGCGGGGGCCCGGGGCCAGAAAGGCCTTCGTCCTCTCGATGATTCTCTTTCCTCCTCCTCCTCCTCCTCCTCCTCCTCCTCCTCGTCATCATCATCATCATCCTCATCCTCATCCTCATCATCATCCTCATCATCCTTCCTCCTGCTCCTCTTTCCGTTCTTTGCGCAGTTCCCCCCCCCTTCCCTCCCCATCCTCTCCTCCAGCCAAGGAGATCGCAGGAAGGAACAGGCGGGCGGGCGGGCAGATGAATGCACGAACGATCAAGGACGGGGCCAGGCTCGAAGCCGACTGCAGCCAGTGCGGGCCTTCTCTGCTGCTGCAGGCGCACGCGGAGTTCGCCGCCCACGGCGATCGTACCCCGACATGGGCGTGCAGGCGTGAGCGCATTGCGCCAGCACCGCCCTGGCAAAGGGTTTCGCGACGCCGCTGCGGCAAAAGGGCGGCGGATGGGCGGACAATGTCGGGACCCGCCATGGCGCAGACGCGAGTGCTTCGCAGGGAGAGGCGGCGTGGTGGTACAGCCACGCGGGTCGCCATTCGTACTTGGCCCAGGCGGCTGTCGAGTGTCCACCCCATTGTCCTCCCTCCTTCTCACCCTCGCCCCCTGGACGGGAGTGTACCTGGCTCTCAGTTCGAAGTTTGGGGCGCAGCATGTGTCAAAGGTGCTGAGTATAAGCACGGGACGAGGGACGCGCATCCGTGACACGGCGTTGGTGGTTGAGGGAATGGTGAGAGGAAGCTCCGTTCAGTGACACGGCGTGGTGGACTTCGGGCGCACTCAAGGCTTGGGCACCGCTGGATGAAGAAGACGTGGAGGAGAAGGAGGAGGAAGGAGGCAGTGATCAGCAGCAGAAGAAGGGGTGTACATTGGAGGGGGGCGAGGAAGAGGATAAGGAAGAGGGGGTTGAGGCATGGGTCCGCCCGCCGCTTGCATACCCATGGACCATGGAGTCACTCTCCCGAGCTTCTGCGCCAGTGGTGTCTCCGCAGGCACAGAGCTGCGACGAAGCCACGGACGCGATACCTCAGCCAGTTGGCCGTACTGCGGCGAAGCATCGCGGGATCACCGTGGGAGAAGGAGGAGGAGGAGGTATAACGGGAGGAGAGGAGGAGGAGGAGGAGGAGGAGGAGGAGGAGGAGGAGGAGGAGGAGGAGGAGGAGGAGGAGGAGGAGGAGGAGGGGGAGGAGCGAGGAGCGATGAGGACGGGGAGGATGAGGGAAGCGAGGAGAGGGACGAGGACGAGGAGGAGGATGAGCAGGAGGAAGAGGAAGAGGAGGAGGAGTGAGGAGCGAGGAGGAGGAGCCCGACATGCTCAGGAACACGTTCGTGGTCGTGTTCGCGGGCGCCGACGACGACAAGGACGGCGTCCCTGAGCCGAGGAGCAGAAGAAGGAGAGGGCTTTGAGAGCCATGAGGGAGGAGGTGGCGTTGCACGTCGACAAGGCGGAGTACGACGCCAGGCGCGGTTGTTGAACCAGCACGACTATGGGGCCACGATCCTCGTGAGGGGTGTGCTGAAATGACCCGAGGCCGCCATGCGAACCCTGCCATTGGCGCCTTCGGTGGAGCTCTTGCGGGGCCACGATCCTCGCGAGGGGCGCGCCGAAATGGCCCGAGGCCGCCATGCGAACCCTGCCACTGGGGCCTTCGGCGGGGCTCCTTATGGGACCACGATCCTCGTGAGGAGTGCGCCGGCATGGCCCGAGGCCGCCACGCGAACCCTGCCGTTGGGGCCTTCTGCGGAGCTCCCTATGGGGCCACGATCCTCGTGAGGGGTGCGCCGAAATGGCCCGAGGCCGCCATGCGAATCCTGCCACTGGCGCCTTCGGCGGGGCCCCCTGCGGGGCCACGATCGGCGCGAGGGGTGCGCCGAAACGGCCCGAGGCCGCCATGCGAACCCTGTCACGGGCGCCTTCGGTGGAGCTCATATGGAACCACGATCCCCGTGAGGGGTGTGCCGAAATTGCCCGAGGCCGCCATGCGAACCCTGCCACTGGCGCCTTCGGTGGAGCTTCCCTTGAAGCCACGATCGTCGTGAGGGGCGTGCCGAAATGGCCCGAGGCCGCCATGCGAACCCTGCCACTGGCGCCTTCGGTGGAGCTCTTGGGGGGCCACGATCCTCGTGAGCCGACGTGGCCCGAGGCCGCCATGCGAACTTTGCCACTGGCGCCTTCGGCGGGGCCCCCTGCGGGGCCACGATCATCGTGAGGGGCGCGCCGACATGGCCCGAGGCCGCCATGCGAAATTTGCTACTGGCGCCGTCGGTGGTGCTCCTACGGGGCCACGATCCTCGTGAGGGATGCGCCGAAATGGTCCGCGGCCGCCATGCGAACTTTGTTAGTGGCGTCTTCGGTGGAGTTCCTGTGGGGCCATGATCCTCGTGAGGGGCGTGCCGAAATGGCCCGAGGCCGCCGCGCGAACTTTGCTACTGGCGCCTTCGGTGGAGCTCCCGTGGGGCCACGATCCTCGTGAGGGGTGTGCCGAAATGGCCCGAGGCCGCCATGCGAACTTTGCTACTGGCGCCTTCGGTGGAGCCCCTATGCGGCCACGATCCTCGCGAGAGGTGCCAGAATGGGGTGTAGCAAACTGGGGCGGTGCCGAGATCGGTGATGATGATGATGATGATGATGGTGATGATGATTGCGATGATGAGGATGAGGATGGAGATGCTGATGATGATGGTGATGTTTGGATGATGGTGATGGTGATGGTGATTATGAGCATGTTGATTATTATTATTCCCCATATCCTAAGGATTGGGGTTCTTGTTATTACTCTGACGCCTCCCACTCCTCCTCCTCCTTCTTCCTCCCGTTCGCGCCTCCCTCCTCCCAATGATAATCACCAGAGAAGACAAGACAAGATAAGATAGCACAAGATATGATAAGAAGAGATTTCAAGATAAGACAAGATAAGTTAAGCTCACACTCGCACTCTCTCATGATCACAAAGCGCTGCCAGGGGCATCATTTGGGAGCCCCAAGGGGGAGCCACCCTGGCTGATCTCACGAGCCCGTTCGCGCCGATTTTGGTGGGACGTCTCAGCTAGAATTGCCGTTTGGCGCCCCCAACATGTATCTCTTGAGAGCCTCATGGTCACAAAACGCTGCCAGGGGCATCATTTGGGAGCCCCAAGGGGGAGCCACCCTGGCTGATCTCACGAGCCCGTTCGCGCCGATTTTGGTGGGACGTCTCAGCTAGAATTGCCGTTTGGCGCCCCCAACATGTATCTCTTGAGAGCCTCATGGTCGCAAAACGCTGCCAGGGGCATCATTTGGGAGCCCCAAGGGGGAGCCACCCTGGCTGATCTCACGAGCCCGTTCGCGCCGATTTTGGTGGGACGTCTCAGCTAGAATTGCCGTTTGGCGCCCCCAACATGTATCTCTTGAGAGCCTCATGGTCACAAAACGCTGCCAGGGGCATCATTTGGGAGCCCCAAGGGGGAGCCACCCTGGCTGATCTCACGAGCCCGTTCGCGCCGATTTTGGTGGGACGTCTCAGCTAGAATTGCCGTTTGGCGCCCCCAACATGTATCTCTTGAGAGCCTCATGGTCACAAAACGCTGCCAGGGGCATCATTTGGGAGCCCCAAGGGGGAGCCACCCTGGCTGATCTCACGAGCCCGTTCGCGCCGATTTTGGTGGGACGTCTCAGCTAGAATTGCCGTTTGGCGCCCCCAACATGTATCTCTTGAGAGCCTCATGGTCACAAAACGCTGCCAGGGGCATCATTTGGGAGCCCCAAGGGGGAGCCACCCTGGCTGATCTCACGAGCCCGTTCGCGCCGATTTTGGTGGGACGTCTCAGCTAGAATTGCCGTTTGGCGCCCCCAACATGTATCTCTTGAGAGCCTCATGGTCACAAAACGCTGCCAGGGGCATCATTTGGGAGCCCCAAGGGGGAGCCACCCTGGCTGATCTCACGAGCCCGTTCGCGCCGATTTTGGTGGGACGTCTCAGCTAAAATTGCCGTTTGGCCTCCCCAACATGTCTCTCTTGAGAGCCTCATGGTCACAAAACGCTGCCAGGGGCATCATTTGGGAGCCCCAAGGGGGAGCCACCCTGGCTGATCTCACGAGCCCGTTCGCGCCGATTTTGGTGGGACGTCTCAGCTAGAATTGCCGTTTGGCGCCCCCAACATGTATCTCTTGAGAGCCTCATGGTCGCAAAACGCTGCCAGGGGCATCATTTGGGAGCCCCAAGGGGGAGCCACCCTGGCTGATCTCACGAGCCCGTTCGCGCCGATGTTGGTGGGACGCCTCAGCTAGAATTGCCGTTTGGCCTCCCCAACATGTATCTCTTGAGAGCCTCATGGTCACAAAACGCTGCCAGGGGCATCATTTGGGAGCCCCAAGGGGGAGCCACCCTGGCTGATCTCACGAGCCCGTGACGAGAGAGAGAGAGAGAGAGAGAGAGAGAGAGGAAGCGAGAGAGAGGGGGAGGAGAGAGAGAGAGAGAGAGAGCGGAGAGAGAGAGAGGGGGAGTTGAGAGAGGAGACAGGCGAGAGAAAGAGAGAAGAGAGAAGAGAGAGAGAGAGAGAAGAGAGAAGATAGAAGAGAGAGAGAGATAGAGATAGAAGAGAGAGAGAGAGAGGAGAGAGAGAGAGAGAGAGAGTGGAGA